ACTAAATCAATTACAATTATTCAAAAAAATTCATTCTTTTATTTTTTAAGCTCAAAAATAATCAATTATTAATGCTATTTTTTTTCTTCTTTTAAATAAAGTAGATCAGTGTTCTAGACTTCTTAGCTTTCATCAAAATCACGTAATTTCCGGTGCGTAACTCCAAAGAAAAACTCTCACCCACGTGTAATTTGTATCAAAATCTATTCAAATGTCAGTATAATAATAAGAAAAAAACTAAATATATTTATTTCAGCCTGAAATCAATTTTGTTAAAGACTTTTTTAAAATGTTTTGTCAAATATTTATAATAAATCAAATTCAAATAACCATTAATCAATCTATATAATATAATAATTTAATAATTAATGAGAAACTCATAAATACTATTTAATTAATTATCACTTAAGTAAATAGTGTTATTTAAAAATGTTTCATGTTTACATCAGAGGTGTAAATAATAAACAAATAAATTCCCATAGAAAAGTGTTACTGAATATCTATCTTACTATTACATTAATTCTCATTCTCTTTCTTCATTCTATTATTTTAATATTTACATTTATTGTTAATTTATTTTATTTTTCTAATCCTCTATACAATATTTATAATAAAAAAAATACAACGAGGTATTACAGCGCCGAGTTATTTAATTCTATATATGTTCAAGAGAAAATCTCAAGGATTTACGAAATGATATATTTTTCTTTGTTCGTTAAACAGCTTATTATAGAATAGTGATTTCAAAAATAATTCAAAAACATGAATAATTTATAAATAATTAATATAAATGAATAAATAAATAAATAAATAAATAAGATGAAATGAAGAATTACAGTTACGTTGACCCGAGGAATTTAAACAAGTATTATTAATCAATTATCGGACGGAAAAGAGCTCCTATTGTTAACTGTCGTAATCCAAGGTCTTTATAGTAACGTTAGAGCCCATTGTTTATACTTGAGGAATTTATGCCAATCAATAGTTTTAAAATTTAAACCAGCATATCATCTTCAACTTACTCACTAAGCTCATTGCTCACTAACTATTATTACTCATTATTATTACAATCTAATCCGGCTGATTATATTGCAATAAAATTATTTCAGTAGTCACTGTTTAATAATACGAGAGTTGAGTTTCACTTTAAGCGACTGAACCACAATGCGTAAAACTCGTGGGCTTCTCTCGCGATTTACGCTGAATAGCTTCCTCAAGCATTAAGTGGACCATTTTATTAATGATATTAAATTTTTATCTTCAAGATAAAAAATTTTTATTTCTTCTCTAAATTTTGTATTCTTCTTAAAATTTTTGTAATATTTTGTAAAAAAAATTTCTAGCGTAATATAAAATTTTTTTATAAAAATATATCAATAATTTTTTTATTAAAAAGTTCTCTCGTGATTATATAAAACAATAAATGACGGATAGGACGATTATACGATAGAAATTAACAATAATAAGGAAGCTTCAATCATATAATCATAAATATATTTAATAATTATTTAAAAATTTTTTTAAATATCTACTAATGTAGAACTGAGATTATGACATACATAAAAATTGAACGCTCTATTCTCTGTTATGAAAATATAATATTCACACGAATTAGATACATACATAAATAGCCTCCGTAATATCTAGCACATATTTTTCTTCTTTTTGAAAATTAAAAATGATTAATAATCGAGCACATGCAACTCGCATCTAATAAGTTACTTATTAAATAAGTTTCATTAGCACTAGATGAACATTTTACAAAAATCTTAAGATCTGTAAACATGAAAACAAATATTTTTTTCCTTAAAGATCGCTTGCGATTAAATAAAATTTTTTTCATACTCGTAATATCCGTCTACGTAACCATTTATGTGATGATTTAACTATTGACTCTTAATTTACCACGATGAATTATTTATAAATGTAATAATATATTAATGACTTCTTTTAATTTATCAGTGCGATTAACACATTATTAAGTTAAATTAATTTATTGTTTTAAAAACAAAAAACACAATTTATGAAGCTATTAGAGACACTAAAAGGGATTCGGATATCTTTTCCGTTTTGATAAGTTTACCGTTCAAGGCGTATAATTATGTAATCAACTTTATTTTTTATCGTAAGATTGATGTTTTTAAGTTTAGTGGTAATAAAAATTTTTTATCTGCGTTAAAACAAAAAAAAAAATGAATTTTAGATTGGTGCAAAATATCCATATTAATGTTGAAACTTTAAACAATAAAAAATGATATTTTGTTTTTTTAGTTTTGATAATTGAATATTATTTTTTAATCATTCACATTCTCGAAGGATTTCTAGTTTTTGTTGCCGGCAACATTGTAATATCACGTGTTATGTATTTAATTACTTAAAAGATTCTATGAAATGTCAAGAATCATTTGTCAATAATCCAGAGTCAATTATTAACAATGCATCTATCAAGATTCATTATTTGCCGCTATTTTAGCCAGGACAATTATTTCTGACGTAAAAAATAAAGAATATTTAATATTTATTTCTTCCTGAAAAATTACAATAGAACATTATATTACAGTATATGACGCAGACTGCTGGACATTTTAATCGTTTAAATAAATGGCTAATTTATTTATTTAAAAATTTTAGATAAGTGTATGTCATTTATTTAAACGCACGAGCCAACTAAACAGCCAACGTCTAATCTAAGGTCTTCTCTAGTCTCTCATTTCAGCAGTATTCTCTAACCCAATGATAACATTGTTTAGTATTGTTACGCAAGGATTAAGAAACATTACTAGAATTAAAATGCTGACTGAGTACAATCCACCTGTCAATGTCGTTTGGATCATTCATACCGCATCAAATAATTTTTAAACCAACAACCCGATGATTGATTTATTATTTCTGTAAAAAAAAAATTTTTTTTTCATTAATAAAATTTTTATCATTATTTTTTTTTATTATTATTATTGTAAAGTGATGAAGAAAAAAATACCTGTTTTGAAAATAATTATCTTCGAAGAATATAATTTTTTTTTTAATGTCAGAGATGGTACCAAGTTGTAAGCTGTAATTTAATAATGTTAGATAGAAGAGAAACAAGGTCTTTAGAATTTCTCGACGATGATAATCATTAGTTCATCTTGTCACGTACAAGAAGACTTTATTTGTAATATAATTTACCTCTGATGACCTCTCATGCTTTTTGGCAACATGACACATTTTTTCCAATTCCATATTAGCAGCGTTGTTCGTATTCGAATCACTTTATATTATGCAAGTTATTTTCCTATCTCATATTTTACTATACAAGAAATAGAAATAGAAAGTTATGAAAATTTTGATTTATTGATAAAAACTTGATGAATTCTTTATTTGTTTAATTTAAAAATTCAAACAAAGTAAAACTGTCATCACTGCTCATAAAATAACCATTTTTATGGCTTGTTGAAAGTAACTAAATAAAATAGTCAACAGATAAAAAATCTATGTAAATAATAATTTTAATTAGAATCTGTCATACTTTTTATGCATTCCAATAATCATTACACCACATAACATTAGTGCGAATAGTAGTTTTGTAACTATTTGTAATTCATCGTCATCTATTATAAAATTTCACTTGGGATAATTTGTTAATTACACGCTACTGAAGACATTAACGAGTTAAATTTTTCAGTTTTCAAACGTGCGTGTCAAACACAATTATTTAATACTTCAATAAACATTTTTTCAATTAGTATACGCTATTAAAATTTTAACTTTGGTCAATATAATTTTTTCTTTAATGCTAATTTTAACAAATTAATATTTATTACACTTGTGAAATTCATTGACAAATTTTAATAAATATAAATTTCAGCTAAAAAATAAATTAATAAAGATTAAAATCATAATCTTCTATTTTAAAGGTTTTGATTATTCAGCCGACTGTAAAATAAAATTTCATCAATTTTATAAATTAAATTTAATATCATTATTTTTTTACTTGTTAAAAATAAATAAGTATATACATCAAATTATTGTGAAATAATTATTTCATAAAAATTATCAATGTTTTATTGATAAAAAAATAATGACACTTTAAACTTGCAAATAATAAATATAATCTCAACTAAAATATTTTATTGTGTCGTCTGCATTTCACTATCGTTTGCCATTTTTTACTTTACTTTTTTACATAGAATTGAAAAAAAAATTAAAATGTCAATAAATAAAAGTCATAACGACTGTCTGGAGATACTTTTATGAGTTCATAGTTCATTTAAATGATTACACTCGACGAAGGTCATTGTTAATTATTTTTTAGTAATAACGTGATGGATAATTCACCTGGAAAACAAATTAAATAAAAAATCAACTGATACTTAACACGATAAATTATTAATTGTTCACTATTTTTCATTATTGTGACACAAAAAGTTATTTTTTATTTAAATGAATAATCGTCTTATGGCATATATTTACGAGCAAAGTCGCTCAATATTTAAAATCTCAACTTTTATTGAGTTTTTATTTATTAATGAGCTGGTTATAAAAAAAGAGGCCATCTAGTTTTACATAAAAAGTTTAATATCAATTTCAGACTACGATAAAGATGTATTAATTGATGTTATTACAACTAGTTTTTTTTTTCTAGATTATCTTACTGACCTTTCATGATAGGAGATACTTGTTTAAAAATATAATGATTGCAATCTAAATAAAAATATTAACGTTCAAATTATAAGTACTTAATATTTTATTCTAGTCATAAGAAATAAAAATCAAAATCAAACAAGAAAATCCAAGTGACATTCAACCAAAACCCAAAAAGAAAATAAACTTTTTGACTAACCAACATTTAGAGAGATTAAATAAACTTTATTGGAGTTGAAGATAAAAAGTATCGACTTAAATATAATTATATTTATAATTAATAAATTTTATTTAATTTACACCTATGACGTTTAATGATAGCAATAATTTACAAGTCAGATTGATCACTAATAATATATAATAACAAAAGAAAGTTATTATCGATCAATTTCACCGAATACAACATCCATCGTACCGATAATGGCAACAATATCAGCTAGGAAATGTTTCGGTCCGAGTTCTTGTAAAGCTGCTAGATGAGCGAATCCGGGCGCCTTTATTTTACACCTGTATGGCTTACTGCTACCGTCACTTACTAGATAAACTCCGAATTCACCTTTGGGTGCTTCAATGGCTGTGTAGGTTGCACCCGGTGGGACTTGGAAGCCCTGGCTGTATAATTTAAAGTGATGGATCAGCGACTCCATGCTTGTTTTCATTTCACTGCGACTTGGGGGAACGATTTTGTTGTCATCTACTTTTATTTCACCAGCAGGCATTTGATTTAAGCACTGCTCAATAATACGGAGTGATTGACGCATTTCTTCAACACGACACAAGTATCTGAAACAATTATTTTTTTATTTAATACCAGCTGTTACTCGCCCGCTCCGCTGAGCGCTTTATAGATTTTCATTTTTAGATCTAGACTTGAAATTTAATTAGAGCATTGTTTTGACTTGCACAGATTCCAAATTCTATCGAATTGGCATGTAACTTTTATCCATGTAATTATTCTAGCTAATATTCATTGTAACTCTCAATGTGCAATTATTTTAACATTCCCGTGTTTTTCTTACAAAATTGAATAATAATTGATATGAAAAAAAAAAATTTGTAATGAGCATTGAAAGTTTCAGTTAAAAAAATTGCAGATCTAATAAATGAAGAAATCTGTCTAGTACATAAATATAACCAATAGAATTAGAAAATTAATTTTAAGGAGACACTGTGCAAAATCACTTTTCTGACAATATTCTTCAATTTTTGAATACGCGTATTTTTAAGTGTCCTCTATACGACTAAATCTTTTTTAATAGTCCTTGCGGTGCTAATTTTCGAAATATTAGAAATTAAAAATCGTACATTTAATTAAGATGTATTCCCTATCCTGACCGTAGTTAGAGTGAACATTTTATTGAATAACAACCATACTATTCTTAGGATTTTTTTGAAAAATTGAGAATATTTAATTGAAGTTATAACAAGTATTTTTGATTAAAAATAACACAAACGAGCAGTATTCATTTTTTTATAAGAAATGTTTGAAGTTAGTGACTTTCGATATTATTACGTTGGTGTCTTTTTCTTGCCGCAATACCTCCTTAAACAAATGACAATCGAATAGAATAAATTTAGTTATAGTAAAAATTCATTATTTCTAAGAATTAATGTAATATTCAGATCTCAGCCAATAAATAAATAAATAAATGCTCAGGTTATTTATTATTTCTAAGTTAAGAAAATATAGGTTCCGGATAAGTAATCACTAACATATCATCATATACTAAACACACTGCATCTTATGGTGTAAGTATTATTCCGATCGATTCAATAGTTTTCGTAGTATAACCGAACAAAAAAACCGGCTCTCCATTTATTAGTATAGATAAGCATATAGACAGATCTTTTGATTGGTAATTATTGTTATTAATATTATTTAAATTCAGGGGCTTTCTAAAGTTATATCAATTGTTTATTTGTAATATTTTCGAGTTCTTCTTTGGGATCTCATCTGTGAAAATATAACAAATAAATTTTTTACTCATTACGTACGAAAATATTACAAATAAATAATTGATATGAATTGAAAAAGCCTTTGAATTTTACTATTATTATTATTATTATTATTATTATATAAGTAAATATTAATCAATATGCCAAATAATTTACCTGTCATAACAATCTCCAGAGATTCCAATTGGTACATCAAAGTCAACAAGATGGTATGCATCGTAAGGCTCAGACTTACGAATATCCCACTTGTATCCAGAACCACGAAGCATGACACCGCTGAATCCCCAGTCTAACGCTTGCTGAGCAGAAACAACTCCAATACCCATTGTTCGTTCTTTCCAAATGGCATTTCGTGACAGCAAGTCCTCGACTTGGTCAATCTGAGCACCGTACTGAGCTGCCCATTGATAAATATCGTCCATAATACCCAGTGGTAGATCCTGAGAAACTCCTCCGGGACGAACATAAGCTGCGTGCATACGAGCACCACTTACACGTTCGTAGAATTCCATCAGTTTCTCACGTTCTTCGAATAGCCAGAAAAACGGTGTCAAAGCTCCGATATCCAATGCATGGGTTCCGATTCCCATGATGTGGTTCAAGATACGTGTCAATTCACCAAAGAGCGCTGAAATTTATGAATTTATTTATTAGTAATTAATTTAATATTGTATTAAAAGTTAATGAAACAAATTTTACCATCAATTCACCCATTATAAAAGTAAATAAACAAAAATACGCACTTCTAATATACTTAGCTCTCAATGGAATATCAATGTTCAATAATTTTTCAATGGCAAGCGAGAAAGCCTGCTCATTACACATCATAGATACGTAGTCCAACCGATCAAAGTACGGCAGAGCCTGCATATACGTTTTATACTCAATAAGCTTCTCAGTTCCACGGTGAAGTAATCCAATGTGAGGATCAGCAGCTTTGACATACTCTCCTTCTAGCTCGAGCACCAAACGGAGTACACCGTGAGCCGCTGGATGTTGGGGACCAAAATTGATTCGGGTGTTTCTGACATTTTTCTCCAGTACCACCGGAAGGTCTGATGGTGGTTGGTAATCCCACTGTACACCGTCACTTGGGTACAATACTGGTCCATTGAATTGTCTCATCCATTCTCTGTCTGGATACCAAGTACCAGCATATTTTTTCTGGCTAAAATATATCAGTCTTATTTATTTAAACGGGAATTATGTTGACAGTAGAAGATGTCATAAGATTTGTTAATTAGTTTTTCTTTGGAGGTTATATTATTGTTACATAATAATTGTATTGGATGGTAAATGTTTGGTAAGCGATTAATAATCAAACTTACGTGAGAAGAGACAGGCGACCTGGATTTTGCAACAATATTTTTCCATCATTGATAAATGGTCCAGATTTTTTTAATACCGTTCTCAATACATTGGTCGCCATGTTTAAACCCTTCAACCCCACACCGTCCTCACTGATCTTCCTCACTGCATAATTTTTTTTTTTTTTTTATTTGTGTTACTTAAATTGTCCAACAGATGGCGATAAGTTTATTTAAACGCGGGAATTTTTAGAATGGTAAAATTTAAAATTTATAAGACCGTCTAGATGTCGGTAGCTTATCTACCCTGTCCACTGAACCACTGAATCATATATTATAATATTATAAGAGCTAAGACGTCATCACTCCGTCATCATCAGCTGGTCCGGATTATTGTGTATAGAGTTAACATTACATTGATATTCTAAATATACTTTCACCTGACACATGTCCTCTGAGCTTCAAATTTAAGGAATAAATAAAAATTGTCAAGTAATCAAATTAATAAAATTAATAAAACAATGGTAGATGCTTCAACGAAGAAAACTCTGAGTGATATTCCAGTGTTGAAAACAAAAGCTGGTCCACGTGATAAAGAATTATGGGTACAAAGACTCAAAGAAGAATACACCACTTTGATCAAGGTACTGTAATTTCTATTAAGAGTGTTGAGAGATTTATTTACTTGAGCATATGGTTTATTGTTTATTTTTTATTTCAGTATGTACAGAATAATAAGGAAGCTGACAATGACTGGTTTAGACTAGAATCAAATAAAGAAGGCACCAGATGGTTTGGCAAGTGTTGGTACATTCATAATTTACTTAAATATGAATTCGACGTTGAATTTGATGTAAGTATTTGTGATTGATGTATTGACTTATTTACTAAGAGAATGCATTGTTTTAGATACCAATAACTTATCCAACTACGGCTCCAGAATTAGCATTACCAGAATTAGATGGCAAGACTGCTAAAATGTATCGCGGTGGTAAAATTTGTATAAGTGATCATTTTAAACCTCTATGGGCCAGGAATGTACCTAAGTTTGGTATTGCTCATGCTATGGCTCTAGGTGTAAGTATTTACTTCTCTAATATTATTATTCTTTTTTAATACGGTTCAATTCCAGTTTAAAAAATAACAATACGGTCAGGACCACGGGTAATTGGAAAACATAGTTAAATCAATTTAAACTATCATTGATTTGCTTTTTTTTTTTTTTTTTTTTAAACATTTCGTCTTTATTCTTAAGACTTTATCAAGCTCTGGAAAACAATATAATAATTAACAACATTTGGGAATTTAATGAACATGAAAAATAAACAATAATATTATTCAAATAACTAACCTCAACAATGTCTAAACGATCGTCAAATTAAAATAAATACATACACGATCTTTTTTTAGTATAATTATCATTGCGATTACCAATTGATAATTTGATAAACACAACAATATTTATAACAAACTATAAACGATTAGTACAATAAATAAAAATAAAAAATAAGCCTTTCAAGCATGTGCTTACTAACAAACTTATATAAACTTATATTTATTTATATTATATTTTTTTTTATACTATATTTATCAAATGATAGTTTAAATTGATTTAATTATGTTTCCCAATTGCCCATGATCCTGACCGTATTGTTATTATTATTCTTCTCTAATTGCAAGATATTTTATGAAAATTAATTTAGCAGATATTTGATCATTTTTTAGAATTTTTATAACATAAATTATGGCAAAAAAAATTAACACGTAAAAATTTTTGAAAATTAAAAATGCAATTTTTTAAAAATAATTTCTCGGAACAAATTTATTCGTTAAATAAAAAATTGAAAAATAATTAAGTGACTGCTAACTTTAATGTAAAAATATTTTTAATTACTAACAAATTGTAGCGATTCATTTAAATAAATATAAATATTTTCAGCTTGGACCATGGCTAGCCGTCGAGGTTCCAGATTTAATAGAAAAGGGAATAGTAAAACATAAAGAACAAAGTGAATCCAACTAGAAGAATTAATCAAATTTATCATTCCTAATTTTTTATCAATCAGTTATAAAAAAATTTATAAATCTTTTTAAACAAATAATTATTTAAATAAATAATTCTATTCTACATTTTATACACCAGGCTATTTATCATCGTCACCAAGCTTCACTTTAGTATGCCCTCTGACGATCTCGTCCAACTTGTACAAGTCCTTCAGAGAGACTTCTCCAGTTCCTCGATCTAGAGGTTTTGGCTGTGAGGGATCTGGTTTCCACCCGAGTACGTAAATAATTTGAAACGTAGCCGGAACATATTTACTTCCGTCTTCTTTTGTTTTTCCGTACAATTCTTCATATATTGCTGCAGCTGCTAGCATAGTGTCTCTTTTCAAATGTAATGTTCGATTTCTACCAGCATTACTTTCTCCCATGCCTAAATTAAATCATCAAACACATTCAAATTTAGCGAATAATAAAATAAATTTTTGGAGAAGTTAAAAATTTTATTTTTAATAAATAATAATAGATAATTGTTACCTTTCAAGTCAGTCATTAGTTCAAACATCGAAGGAAAACCAATAACCATTTCATCGGTGTCGATAGTCAGCATGGTGAACCCAGCACGATTCATCAAACTTCCTACGTCACGAATTTGGGTGAACGGCGATATATGAGGTGATATTCCACCATGTCTTTCAAGTTCTGCTAATTGCAGTGAACTTCTGTATTAACAATTTAAGGATTTAAAGAAAGAACAATGAATACAGTCGAGTCGCGTTATGAGTCCGGCTTGTTGTCTTTTTTTGTTAACCAGACTCGCGTTAATATGAGAGAGACACTAAGAAGGACTCATATACAGCAACTAGATAGGGTTTTATGCCAAAAGGGAGTATAAAAAATTTTTTTTTCGCCATTAAATTTAGAACTGCTCAAAACGTAAAGATTTATCAATTAAAGAAGAAAATTTTTCAATGTATTAATGCCAAAAGGGCATATCTCAAAACATACGCCCTTTTGGCTTTAAAAAATTTAGCCTAAAGCCAAAAGGGCGTATAAAAAACTTTCAATTTCGTTCTGAAATATATAATTTAACTCTAAAATAAAATTTAACGCCCTTAAGGAAATCCTTTCGCTCCAGTTGAGTCAAAACAATTGTAGTAGTCAATATACGATAAATTAAAATAAAAAACCCATAAAAATTCCTAAAATTAAATAATAAATAGTATATGAGGCATTAATCGTTGAAATTTTGAAAAAAAAAAAAAAAAA